ATAGTGAATGGAACTATTAAAATGGAATTGTATGCTTTAGTCACAAACTAACGTTGTTGATAAAAATGAAATAAAGGTAGAGAGGTTTAGTCTGAAATTGTGAGAAAATATGTAGGATGGAAGTTCATAATATTTTTTTGATGGATGATAGCTCAATAGGAAGTCAAAAGAATTCTGAGTTCTAGCAACTTAATGTAATTCAAACAATTCTTATGAATATTATGCTATTTCATTCCCTCTAATAATTATTTAAGTGGTATCAAGTGGTATCAAGGACACAATATGAGTATATACTATGCATCTTAATATAGACGCTTACTACATTGGGTCTTATTTAATTCTCACTCCACATCTACAAAGTACAATCATTATGCCAATACTACAGATGAAAAAAAATGCAGCCAATAAAATATCTTTTTAAAAAATTTGAAGTAATGAAGGTTTAAAAAGTGTAAATGTTTATGCCAGAAGGATCCAATGTTATTATCCATCACTGAATTGTCAATATTTCTCCACTTCTATCCAGAGAACATTCCTCCACCCCCACAACCTGGGCCTTAATCTTAGTAACTTTAATTCTGTTGTCAGAACCTAAGGCTTTGTTTCCACTAGACAATTCCTATCCCCTTGCTTTATTTATCATACTTTGAAACTCATCTTAAAGAAATTAAAAGTTAAATTCAAAATTGAAAGAAAAAAAGCCAGCACTTCCTGGTTAGACACAGTTGTCCTTATTTTGTCCTTTCTCCCAAATTCTAAGATAAGGAAACATTGAACCTCTCTCAGAAACCTCTGGTTTAGGTTTGTAGATAAGATGAAGTGTGACTTGGGGGACCTATCTTAGAGGTAATTTAATCATCATTCTGGCCCCCAACAGTCTGAAACCCATCCTTCCAAAAAATGTGCTTACCTGCAAAGAGTATTTATAAAGGCCATTCTTGTGACTGTACAGAGGAAAAGTAGACATCTTCCAACCTGCAGACATGCTGCCAGTAAAACTCCTCCTCCACTTACCATACTGTTTCTAGATCAATTTGTCCTCAAACAACAGTGAAAGAGGATCTCTGTGGTTACTATATGAGTGAGATCATTAGTTATTTATCTTTGTTTGTCTGAGCTATTTTGTTTGACATGACACTCATGGGCTTTTGTTTTGTTTTGTTTTGGGGCTACACCTGGTGTTGCTCAGGGTAACTCCTGGCTTTTCACTCAGGAATCACACCTGGTGGTGCTTCAGAGAGCATATGAGATGCTGGGGATTGAACCCAGGTCAGCTGCATCCAAGGCTTACCCACTGTACTGTCTCTCCATCACCTCAAGGGCCTTTTGCATGAAAAAAACTTAATGCAAAAAGGATTTCTTGGAAAAACTTACCTGTATAGTTTAGATATTTAGATATAGTTTAGATATTTATAACTTAAAAATATGAAAGTTATTATCTAAGAAAATGTGTAAAGAATTTATTTAAATGGTCAGCATATAGTTTGAGTTACACATATGTATCATTATTATATAATTAACATTACATTTTTGGGGATGTTAATACATCCAAGTCATGTCTATGATAATACTGTCATACTGCCATTCATTTTTCTTAAATTTTAGAACAGAATTGTACCCTAGTGTCTACAATTGATTTGGCCACGATAAATCTCCTGTAATGCTTATTCAAACAAGAGTATTTCCAGTCCTCTTTATCAGAGATTCTGAATCTGTAGCTATTAGTAGAAATCCAGGAATTTTATGTAATAAATAATCAGAGGGTTTCTCGGGGTAAAAAAGTTTGAGAAACACTCTGCTGAGAAAAATTCTGGATACTTGGCATCAAAATTTCTCTAGAGTCTGGATTTAAAATCTCAAACATCTACAAAATTAATCTGTTTAAAATTATCCATTCATCGTTCCTTAGATCTTTCCTTCCTTAGAATTTTGCTCAAGATGTTCTCTCTGCTTAGACTTTCTTTCTCATATAGATTTATTCATTAAAAATCTTAATAATTTTTCAAAGCTCAGATCAAATTTTTTTCTTTTTGGGTCACACCCGGCAATGCACAGGGGTTATTCCTGGCTCTGCACTCAGGAATTACTCCTGGCGGTGCTCAGGGGACCATGTGGGATGCTGGGAATCGAACTCAGGTCGGCCGCGTGCAAGGCAAACACCCTACCCGCTGTGCTATTGCTCCAGGCCCTCAGATCAAATTTTAACTTCACCATAAAGACTTCCCTGATTGCACACATTATATTGTATGATATATGATATGACATAATATGATAATATTAACTTCCACAGTCCTTTAATCTTTATTGCAATGATTCAGACAGTGTGTTTCCCTGGACTAGCAGCTGGAGTACTTGGGAGCTTGTTATAAATAAAATTCTTGGGCTCTACCTAGCCAGATCTTCTGAATCAAAATTTTGATTATGGTACCCATCAATCTGTTTTGTTTGTTTTTTGGCTTTGGGTAATACCTGGTGGTCCTCAGGGCATACTCCTGACTCTGTGCTATGGGATCACTCCTGGAAGGTTCAGGAGGCCATAGGGGGTGCTAGGAATCAAATCTGGATAGCTGCTTGCAAGGCAAATGCTCTACCCACTGTACTGTGGCTTCCACAGTAATCTGTTTTCAAACTTTCTAGATAATCCCAATGTACCCTGAAGCTTTAGTACATCTCTAATGTATTCTACATTTTATTATTGCACTGATATATATCTTCTCTACAGAATATAAGGTAAATTCCATGAGTGTAAAAAGTATCATCAATTTATTTTCTTTTTGGTGTTATGGGTCACACCCTGCAATGCTCAGGGATTACTCCTGGCTCTGCACTCAGAAATTACTCCTGGCAGTGCTCAGGGGACCATATGAGATGCCGAGGATCAAACCTGGGTTATTGGCGTGCAAGGCAAACTCCCCACTTGCTGTACTTCAATTTATTTTCTTAGTAACACCAAGCACAGTGTTTTTCACTCAGCATATTGAAAGACTTGTTGAATTAAACTGCCATTTCTTTAACTCTCAAAATTTATGTGTGTAAGATGTATGATTGTATTACATAATTTTTTCCTTTCTTTTTTCCTTTTTTTTTTGGTGTGGGCCATGCCTGCTAATGCTTATGGGTTACTCCTGGCTTTGCACTCAGGAATTGCTCCTGGAAGTGCTCCAGGGACCACCATATAGGGATGCCAGGGATCAAACCTGGGTTGGCTTCCTGCATGACTAAACCCTACTCGCTATACTCTTGTTCTGGCCCCTCATTTTTCATTTTAATAGTGATTAATAACCTTTAAAGTTGTGATGGGCTGGAGCGATGGCACAGTGGGTAGGGCTTTGCCTTGCATGGGACCGACCAGGGTTCGATTCCTCCGTCCCTCTCGGAGAGCCCAGCAAGCTACTGAGAGTATCCTGCCCACACAGTAGAGTCTGGCAAGCTCCCTTTGGCGTATTCAATATGCCAAAACCAGTAACAACAAGTCTCACAATGGAGATGTTACTAGTGCCTGCTTGAGCAAATCAATGAATAACGGGAGGACAGTGCTATAGGACAGGACAGTGCAGTGCTAAAGTCATGACATGACTGATTCAACTGCAAGAACATGCCAGTTGTAAAGATAAATGAAGAAGAGTTAGTTGCCCTTATTTTTCAACTATCAAAGCTTTTTAAATCTTTCTCCTAAGTGTAATATATATGATGGCTCCTAAACTTTTCCTAATAACAGTCAGTATCTTCTCTGAAGTGCCTCTTTCACTTTACTTCTCTTAGCTGTAAGGCTTTAAAAAATCTATTTCCTAGAACTGGAGAGAGAGTACAGGGGTTAAGGTACTTAACTTTAACCTTACGAGCAACTTACTTGGGTTTAATCCCTGGTACTACATACATTTGATCCCCCCAAGCAAAGTCAGAAGTGATCCCTGAACACAGAGCAAGGAGTAAGTTCTGAGCACTATCAGATGTAGTTACAAACCAAAAACTATAAAACTTTACTAAGTTTATTTAAAATTTATTAATGAGCTTCAACTTCATTCATGCTACATATAAATTAGATAATACATATGCATTGGTTAGTGTTATTCATCAATAAATTTGAAATATAATTTATTAAAAAAATAATATAAAGTAGATTTTGTTAGAGTAAAAGTTAACATTATAATGTTTTAGTATCTCCCATATGAAATATCTAAGTTAATAAAGATTTTTATAGATTAGTATTTTATTACTAAGTGAGAGAAGGAAGTTCCGACCTCCGTTGACGATCCAGAATCAGGGACACTGTTTCGTTTGCCAAGGTGTCGAAAATCAGATGGGTTGGACACATAATGCAATTTAGAGACGATCACTGGACTAGAGCTGTTACAAACTGGATTCCACAGGACTTCAAAAGATCACCTGGCCACCCACCTACAAGATGGTCAGACTTCTTTGTCAAAACGAATGGTTTGAGGCGCTTCGTGTTCCTGGATCGAGCAGATGCCATTAGGCCACACTAGCACGCAACAGGGACGAATGGAGATGAAACTGGCGCCCGCTCAAGCAAATCAAAGATTAATGGGATGACAAGTGATACAAGTGATACAAATATTTTATTTATTATTGATCTTAAACTGTTTAGCATCTTTATACAGTCACTGCATTTAAAAATATTTAGTAAACAAGCAATATTGTTGAAGCCATACAAAAATTCATTGATTTAGCATTATTTCCTCCACAAAGTACCTTTCTCAAGAAAATTTAAAAGTAAAATTTTATATTGTTTCCTTCAGAAATTCAATAATAAATAAATATTTTCTAAGTATAATTTAAGTATTATTTACTGAAATAAAGGCACTATAAAGGTACTTTATACAGTTATAATTAGAAAATAAACCAGTCTAAATATTTTGTTGCAAAAAGAATCAACAAATTCACAAAAAAAATCTGAAGAATTATTAACTTTAAAAAAAATAATGCATTAGGTGTCTTTATACTTTTCTTAGTGCAAGAATAATTTTTTTGGAATTGCCTTAGAAAATACCATCAAATATTCCCATTAAAGACTTCATTTCATCAGCTTTATCATCAGGATGACAACTATTGGGGTAAAAGTAAAAATAAACATCAATATTTGTGAGTTTATTTTCAAATATAATAAATAATGTAATGATAAGTACAAATGGATAAATGTGAAGATTACTAAAAAGTTCAATATGTCAAGTTAAGGTCAATATACAAAATCTCTTAGAGTATCTGTGGGGAAAAATTATACCTCATTAACCATAAAAAATAGGAAACAAGTCTCTTAAAATTTCTTTAAACAAATTGGAGAATAATGTAATTAAAGCTAGTGTGTAGAGGCCTTATATACTTTGACTATTCAATAGGAAAAGGAACACTGCAGCCCATAAAAATGATCAGCAGGTTAAAGAAAATTTGGTACATCTACACAGTGGAGTACTATGTAGTTGTTAGAAAAGATGAAGTCATGAAATTTATATACAAGTGGTACTACATGGAAAGTATCATGCTAAGCGAAATGAGTTAGAAAGAGAGGGAGAGACATAGAAAGATTGCATTCATCTGGGGAACATAAAGTAACAAAATGGAGACTAACACCCAAGAATAGCCAAGATAAGTACCAGGAGGTTTACTGCATGGCTTGGAGGCCAGCTGCACATGCTAGGGGAAAAGGCAGCTCAGATAGAGAAGGGAGCACCAAATAAAGGGTGTTGGGAGGATCCTCCCAGGATGGGAGAAGCATGCTGAAAGTAGACTATAGACTGAACATGATTGCTACTCAATGCCTCTTTTGCAAACCACAGCACCCAAAAGGAGAGAGAGAACAAAAGGGAATGCCCTGCCACAGAGGCAGGGTGGGCGGGGGTGGGGGGGGTGGGGGGGGTGGGAGGGATGCTGGGATCCGTGGTGGTGGAAAATGGGCACTGGTGGAGGGTTGGGTACTTGATCATTGTATAACTGAAACCCAAGCACAAAAAGTCTACAACTGTACCTCATGGTGTTTCACTAATAAAAATTAAAAAAAAAAAGATCAGCAGTCAGGGCACTATTGTTAGATCTTACCTTATTTCATTATTGAACCAATCAAACTGTGAAAAATTAATTGGGTAAAATAAAGTCTAAATTAAAAAACAAAAGTAGATCTCATTTGATTTCACTTTATATTGTCAATATAATATGTGCAAGGGCTGGAGGGATAGCATAGCGGGTAGGGTGGTTTCCTTGCATGGGACCGACTCAGGTTCGATTCCTCCATCCCTTTCGGAGAGCTCGACAAGCTACAGAGAGTATCCCACCTGCACGGCAGAGCCTGGCAAGCTCCCTGTGGCGTACTGGATATGCCAAAACCAGTAACAAGTCTCACAATGGAGACGTTACTGGTGCCCGCTCGAGCAAATCGATGAACAACGGGAGGACAGTGGACAGTGCGACAATATATGCAAATATCAAAAGCCATTTATCAACACAATATGTTTTTCTTTTTTTTGGAGGGGGGTTACACCCGACGATGCTCTGGGGTAAGTTACTCCTGGTTCATGCACTCAGGAATTCCTCCTGGGGGTGCTCAGGGGACCATATGAGATGCTAGGAATTGAACCCAGGTCGGCCGTGTGCAAGGCAAATGCCTTACACGCTGTTCCATCACTCCAGCTCCATATCAACACAATATGTTTTAAGAACGTTAAATATATATATAAATTAAAAAAAAAATTTTTTTTTTATTAGTGAGACACCATGAGGTACAGTTGTAGACTTACAAATTTTGTGCTTGGATTTCAATTATACAATGATCAAATACCCATCTCTCCACCAGTGCGCATTTCCCACCACCACGGATCCCAGTATCCCTCCCACCCCCCCATACCCCTCCATCCCACCCTTACCTCTGTGGCAGGGCATTCCCCTCTGTTCTCTCTCTCCTTTTGGGTGTTGTGGTTTGCAAAAGAGGCATTGAGTGGCAACCATGTTTGGTCTATAGTCTACTTTCAGCAAAACATATATTTTTGGGCTGGGAATGTGGTTCAGTGACACAAAGTTGCTTTCCATGTATACAGGTCTGAATTCAATCCTTGGTGTCACAATAAAAAGCCTAGGTTCTCAAAAACTGACATACTTGATGCAATGAATTATCTTGTGTAGCTTACTTTATCATGATCCACCATTTCAGTATCTGCAGCAAACATCAGGTTTTGGTTCTGATCTTTAACATAAATCCAGAATAAAGGAATGCTGAATATGGTTTTTGTTTGTTTGTTCATTTTGTTTTTGTTTTTTTGGGTCACACTGTTATGCTCAGGGGTATTACCCCTGGCTCAGGAATTACTCCTGGTTTGGGGGACCATATGGGATACTGAAGATCAAAACCAGGTCAGCTGCGTGCAAGGCAAACGCCCGCCCTGCTGTACTGTCACGCCAGCCCCAATGCTGAACATGTTTATAAAAAATTTTCACTGTATAGTTTTAAAATGCCTAAAAAGAGTACTTACCTTACACCAACTTCCTTTTTACTTTCACTATTTTTAAGAAAGACATCCACTTTCTCGTCTGAAAACTTCTTTTCAAATTCTGAAGAATTTGGTAATTTTTCAGAGTGGGTAAAGCATATCCTTTCAATCACTGGTGATAGATTTTGTTGGTTTTTTTCATGTAAATGGATCTATAGTGTGAGATTAGAAAACAGTAGTCATTAAAAGTTTAACTGCTCAGGCAGAATTGAAAGATAAAATAAACACTACTTACAATATTTGTATTTCCAATTTGTTGAGGTAGATTTGTTATGGAGGATGCAGCAAAGTTGGACACAGCAGACTTTGATAGATAAATATCTGGCTCGTGATGTAATGAAACAAAACTGAGAAAATTAATTAAAGATTGTAAAAATATGACAAATAGGAGGAACAGTTATTCTCATTTAGATCAACAGTGATACTTTGGGGAAGATGATAAAAATTCATCATGCTTTCAAAAAAATATTGATACTCTGTATCTTGTGAGTTTTCTTTCCTTTAGAAGAAATACTAATTCATTTTTCCAAATTATATAAAAATCCTTTAAATTGTTTAACAGAAACAATTATTTATTTCTTTTAAATTAAGTCTTATGCTTAGTTGTCTACCACCTAACAAATATAAATCTTTTCAAATTATACTTGCTTAACTTTTAATATCCTTTCTCCTCTGGTTGCCTCTGGATAAACATCACCAGTTATCTTCTTATGATAACATAATCTAATAATAACATGTCATCTTCTTATAAAATCTTTAACACCCTATTGTATAATGCATAAAGCATTCATTAAAAACATTTATTGTTCATTATCATATCCCAGATACTGTACTACGAGCTGGGTATAAGTGGTAAATAAATTATTGGGGAGTGAAGATAATAAATAATGATATACATAACTATAGATCCTGAAGTGGCATAAATTAAAATTATTGAAAATTACAGTATGGATGTATTTAAATCAAGTAAATTAAAAAAAATTAGGGGCCACATACTTGTTGCTGCTCAGATTTTACTCCTGGCTCTGTGCTCAAGGATCACTCTTGGTGCTTGGGGTAACATATGCAGTGCAGGGGATCAAATCCAGGTTGGCCACTTGCAAAATAAGCACTTGAACCACCATACTATCTCTCTGGTTCTTGAATTTTAATTTCAATTCAAACTTTTAAACTTTGGGGATCTCCCAAGAAATGTTTAGGGGGTCTGGAGACCACTCCTGGAACACTCAGCAAATAGTGTCAGTTAGGGCCAGGCCATGCAATTCCAGGGATCAAATATGCAAAACATGAGCCCCTGATCTTCAAGCTAGCTCCCTAGCACCATAAACCCACTTGCATTTGCTTTGTTTTGTTTTTGGGTCACACCCAGTGATGCTCAGGATCAAACTTAGGCCAGCTGTGTGCAGAACTATCCCTCTATACATACTATCTGTTGTACCATCTCTCTGGGTCCTTAAACCCACTTTTAATAGGTAGTTATGAGAATATCTCTGAGGTGATAACTTTACAAAAACAGGTTAAAGATTACCAAGAGGTATATGGAAAAACGTGCTTTTCATCACTAGGAAATGTAAATCAAAACAACACTGAGGTATGACCTCACACCAGTGAGACTGGCACACATAAAACTGAAACAACTAGTGTTAGCATGGATATGGGGAAAAAGTTACTATTATCCACTATTGGAGGGAAAGCTGACTGGTTCAACATCTTTGTAAAACAACATGGACATTTTTCAAAAACAAAAACAAAAAACCCAAAACCCAAAATAAAACAAACCCCTCCACATGATCCAGCAATTTCACTTCTTAGCATCTACCCCAAGGGTACAAAAACCTTGAAAAGACACTTGTGTTCCTATGTTCACTGCAGCATAGTTCACAATAGCCAAATCTGGAAATAATTCAATTGTTCAAGAACAGATGACTGGATAAAGAAATTGTGGTATATACACACAATGGAATACTAATTAGTGATAAGAATAGATAAAATTATGCAATTTGATGCTACGTGGATGGAACTTGGGGAATCATGCTGCATGAAGTCAATCAGAAAGAGAAGGAAAGATATATCATGATCTCTCTCAGAGACGCAACATAAAGAATAATAGTAGTTTGCAAACTATAATACCCAAAGGGAGAGAGGGGGTAAGAGGGAATGTGCTTGCCACAGAGGCAGGATATGGAAAGGGGTGGGGGTGGTGGGAGGGATACTGGGAACATTGATGGTGCAGAATGGGCACTGATGGAGGGATGGGTGCGTGATCATTGTATGACTCAAACGTAATGATGAAAATTTGTAAGTCTGTAACTATATCTCATGGTGAATCATTAAAAAAAATAAAAAGAATAAAAGAATAAAAAAAGAGTAATAGTAATGGAATAACAAATGGCCAAAAGCAATAGAAACAGGGTTGGTTTATAGAACTTAGATTACCCAGGGGAATGGACAGGATCTTGGAACATTAGTGGAGGGAGTCACTCTGGTGATTGGTATGGTGTTGGAATATTCTATACACGAAACTTTCATTAATAGTGTTATAAAGCATAGTACCTCATAACAATTTGGGGGAAAATGTGACAACCATACAGGAAGCAATAAGCAGAGAAGCAGAGAAGGGAGACTCACTTATACTGATCAGGCTGCTTTTTTTTTTCATTTACTAATGGCAAGAAGTTAAATAACTAAAATTAAAGTATAATTTCAATAACAATTTAAAAAATTTTAAATGGTTAACGGTGTTTTTCGTTGGTATTGTTTCCCTGAGGTTCAGGTAGTCCCATAATTCTAATATTGTTCCTCTTGGAGTCATCTGCTAGGACTCTGATTCTCTGTAGAGCCATTTTGAGGTCCCTTGCCAGTGTTTGTTGTCCATGAATGGAAGGCCAGCCACAGGCTCTAGGTGAAAAGGAAGCTCAGATAGAGAAGAGATTACCAAATGAAGGGTGTTGTGAGGGCCCTCCCAGGGTGGGAGAAGCATGCTAAAAGTAGTCGATAGACCAAACATGATTGCCACTCAAAGCCTCTCTTGCAAAACACAGTACCCAAAAGAAGAGAAAGAGAACAAGGGGGAATACCCTGCCACAGAGGCAGGATGGGACGGGGGGGGGGATGAGGGGGGGGATGCTGGGACCCATGGGGATGGATGACGGGCACTGGTGGAGGTATGGGGACTTGATCATTGTATAACTGAAACCCAAGCACAAAATTTGTAAGCCTATAACTGTACCTCATGGTTTTTCACTAATAAAAAAAAAAAAAAAAAAAAAAAAAAAAATACTAGAGCATATTTTTCAGAATCTGTATAATGCATAATTCATTTATGGGAGAAATTTTTAATTCGAAGAAATTTTTATGCAATTAATGTTAATTTAGATTGCAATTTGCTAGGAATCTAATACAGTTTTTAAAATAACAACCTACGCATTATTGTTTAAAATACTGAAAAATAAATACTGAATGACAAGACCATGAAAAAAAAAAAAAAATTTTAAATGGTGTAATGGGAAAAGCAAGCCTCTTTTCTGAATCCCAGATCTCAGGACTCTTAGGCCTTCTCAGAAGCAACTTTGGCACTCATTTCTCAGAGGTTTCTTGACTGGATTTTCTTGAGTACTCAATATCTTCTTTAACCACTTCTAAACTGTTCTAAAATTATTTGTAGTTTTTTAAATATGTGGTAAACAGATTGTTCATGTAAACATAAGAACAGTTATCTTCCTATTTATGACTTTTTTTCTTTATATGCAAAGCTTGGTTCACGTTTTTTTTTTTTTTTAATGTAGGAGTACTGCTATTTATTCAGCCACTGATTAGGCTGATTGAATTTTGCATGAACTCCACCTTATTTTTCTTTTTTCCCATTTTTTATAATTTTATTTATTGAATCACCATAAGAGCAGTTACAAAGCTTTCAGGTTTAAGTCTCGGTCATAACAATGAAACACCAGTACCTTCACCAGTGTCCATTCTCTACCACAAAAACCCCAGTATACCATCAACCCACACCCTCCCCCTACCAGTGGGGCAGATGATTTCTAAATCACTCTCTCTATACTTTCACAGAGATCACATTCAACATTTCAACGCCACACCCACCATTATTATTTGGGATTTTACCCCAACACTCAGATCTGCCAAAAAGGCAACAATAGACGAAAAGGCAACAGTAGATTTGTTTTCTATTGTTGGTCATGAATAATATATGATGTCGTGCAGTTGCAGCTGTGCAATTTTGAAATAATGAAATTTTAACAATTAAATCTGGAGAAATTTCCTGCCAAAACCTGCTAGGTCCCAAGATCTGTTCCTGAGTCTCTGGGATCATGGCCATTAAGCAGCTTGATCAGGAGCTAGAGAGGCCGTTCATGGGCGGCGACTCACAGTCTCGTTGGGCTGGGGAGGAAAGGGCCAGCTCCACCCCATCCCATGAGGCCCCGCGTGTCTTGTCACTGCAGGCCCAAACCTCAGTGTTCAATGGCCTCTGGCAGATGGAGGCCACCGAGCCACCAAGGGGGAGCAGAAGGAGGGGCAGCACCCTTTCCCCCCTGGGGTGGCCCGGTGACAATAACCTACTGCGTGGTCCAGACACATTTCTACCAAAAGCCACTGGGTTTCGAGATTTGTTTCTGAGTCCCTGGGATCATGGCCATTAAGCAGCTTGATCAGGAGCCAGAGAGGCCATTCGTGGGCGGTGACTCGCAGTCTTGTTGGGGTGGGGAGGAAAGGGCCGGCCCCACCCCCATCCCATGAGGCCCCGCGTGTCTCATCACTGCAGGCCCAAACCTGACTGTCTAGTGGCTCTGGAGGATGACGGCCACCGGGCCACCAGCTGGAACAGGCCAAGGCACAAAACCTATTCCCACCTGGGGTGGCCCAGCACTGGTAGCCTACTGCAGGGACTGGACACATTTCTACCAAAAGCCCTTAGGTTTTGAGTTTCGTTTCTGAGTCTCTGGGATCATGGCCGTTAAGCAGTTCAATCAGGAACCAGAGAGGTCATGCTTCCAATTTTATAGCTGAGCCGGAGGCGGTTTGTGGGTGTGTCTCCCACATACCTAACTTTTGGCCGTTTACTTTCTTGGTGAACTTTGCCCCAATGTTTTGGGTTCTGGCCAAAGACACAACAGCAATTTTGGGATATCTAGAAGTCTGAAGGTTCCAGGAAGCTGCTGATGCACTTGCCTCACAGGTACAGATTGATCTGCTGGCGACACGATACCCCCGAGAACTTGGTTCACTTTGATGTCTCTATTGTTTACTCTGTATGATTCTGAATTAGAACCAATGGATGGATTTAAAAAGACAAATTTTAGACAAATAATTTTTAAAAGCTGTACTGAAGAGTACAGGGGTTAAGGTACTTCCTCTGCATAGGGCCTACCCTGATTCCATCTCCAACCCCTCAGGGTCCCTGAACACCATGAGAACTCATGAGCACAGATCTAGGAATAGTCCTCCAGCACTCTAGACCAAAAGCCCAATCACTTCCTGTGGAAACACAAATTATAAACTATTGAAAGGTTTGAGAGATCCATATGGAATAAGATTTTTTTTGTAAAACAATTAGCAGCAGTATGTTCTTTATTTTCTTTTTTTAAACATTTTATTTAAAATTTTTAATTGAAATTTTGTGGTTTAGAATACTTGTAATAATGGTTTTCATACACATAATTCCAGCACCATACCCATCACTTGTGTACTACCTCCCTCCCTTCCAACCTTCTCCCTTTGTCCCCCAGCCATTAACTCAATTGTGTGGATCAGCTCTTCCATTGTGGAAAATATATCTTGTGAAGGATATAGTCCTTACACCATATCCGATCTACACAATATGGTCATTTTGGGGGGGGGGGTCAGGAGTGCTGCAGAGTAAGTCCCATTTTAACAAGTTAAGTATGAATGGTTGAAGAGATAGCTCAAGGGGCTGGAGAGCATGGCTGGCATACACTGACTTCTAGTTTAATACTAAACACCACATGGCTCCCTGAACACTGGCAGCATGACCCTGGTAGCCCCAATACCGCAGGGTCACAGAAATACTATATCACTGACTGGAGAACGCGGCAAGATCCATACTCCAGGTATCACTGATAGTAGCTCCCAAGACCCCTGAACATCCATTCCCACAAGTCATCAAAATAAAATCAGTTGTCAAAATTTTAAAATAAGGAGTTTAAAAAAATAGTTTCTTTAATTTATACAAGACTCATATTGACTGCACAGTAATATCTGGTTGGAGCTGCTGGTGGTGGCTCCCTTTATTATTTTTCACTTAATCACTTAACTTTCACTTAATCACTAACCTGGTCATGTAATGAGATTTAAAGACGACCGTTGGACTAGAGCTGTTACTGACTGGATTCCACGGGATGTCAAAAGACCGCGTGGCCGCCCACCTACCAGATGGTCAGACTTCTTCGTCAAGATCATGAACGATCGGTTTGAGGCCCTTCATGTTCCGGGAGCGAAGAGATGCCATTGGGCTACACTATTATTTTTATTTATTTATTTTTCTTTTTGGGCCATACCTGGTGATGTTCAGGGTCACTCCTGTCTTTGAATCACTTAAGAATCACTCCTGGCAGTGCTCCAGGGACCATATGGGACGCCAGGGATACTATCATCCCAGCCCCCTTAAGATTAAATATTTTACATTTGGCCTTGGGCCACCAAATACTAAAAGCAGACTGAGTTTGAGAACCTTGGCCTACTAGGTTAAAGCACATGGGGTATAACATGACATTTCAAGTCCTTCACAATCCAACCTCAGCGATTTCAATTCTAATGTTGTGGCCACGTGGATTACATTTTACTGAACCTTGAACATGGCCTGACTTTTTCTGTCCTATTACCATGTACATAATTCTACCTGGAGCGTCTCTTACTCCTTTTTTTTCCTGTCTAACTTCTATTTAGATTTTCAAGTTTTTTTAAAAATGAAGATTTCTGGACTCCAGTCCCAGAGACCAAGATACTGTAAGTTTAAGAAACCGAGGGATGTACTATTTCAATATGCACCCCTTGGTGATTTGATGTTTGTGGTAAGATAATTACATTTAGAAGTACAGCTCTAAGATTAAGAGGGGCTGGTTAACAGGTTAACTAATACCTTACAGATTCACTGACATCTAAGGACTTGATCCCCTTCTCCAATTATATGTGAGGTGGATATAGAGTTGTAAGTATCCCAAATGAAAGCTTTAAAACTTGCCTGTTTGACATTTCTCTTTGTATCTTGTTCTCTGACTCTTGGAAGGATCTCTTACTCCCTCTGCTAGTTGAACTCAAAGTGGTTCCAAATCCTTGGCAAAGAGATCACATATTTATTAGAACACAACTAAAATTCTTGGAATCAAATGAATAAAACACTGCACAAGTTCTACAAAGGCTCTTTTCAACAGATTAGATATACTCAAGTAAAGAATAATTACTCACAAAATTAAAATTTACTTTGCATGGAGAAATAAGAAAGTAAAACTGCAAAAGACATAGTTTAGCTTACATATCTCTATCTATATTAAAAGCTATCCAAACTACTATCTATTCTTACAGCATATAAATGATCATGTACAAAGTTCATGCAATATTTTCAATGATTGTCACGCAATTAAGTTGTTGTCCAAACACACAAAAACGGCACTGACCGATTTTCCAAGTACTAAAGTTATGTTCTAATATTTTCATGTTACATCAATGGCTAAGTGTAAAATCCTAGCACTCTGAAGGTTGTGTGTTTGCGGGCTCTCTGGATGGCTCTTTCTCACCGCCCGCGTTCGGTGCTCTTGAGCCCTGCGTGTGGCCTGGATCAGGACGTTCTCTCTTTCAAGTATGAGCCCCTCTCCTCTGATTCTGGATCTCCCCCGCCTGGGCCTACAGTCTTAGTTTATATAGCAATCATGTAAGGTGGTGACACAAAGGTGGGTTGAACATTAACAAATCAACAAAGAGAGGTAAAACCACTCCTCCAGGAATTTAACTCAAGGATAAAATCTCATCTAAAGAGATTATTCCAGATTACTAGGAGATCAGCTCAAGGGTGGGATCCCAACAAGGGTATGTTCTTCCCTCAGTTAGTAGTCTACTTAAACAGTTGTAATAAATCTACTTCTAATATTTCTAGCAATGTCATTCTGTAGGAGCACAGTAAGAGATATAAACTTAGTTTGGTTCTTCCTGAGAACATCTCACTGTACATTCTGCAGTTCTCAGGCCAGGTTAATCTTCCTACCCCCAGCAGGGCCCTAGTCTCGTCGTTACTTTTGGATCATGACAGCATTTGTCCATGATCATATCCTCAACTTATAGTTGAGATTGTGGTGCTTTGGCCTGGCCCATTTCGATGCCAGGGTAGCTCACAGAATGCCCTGGGTTCATTCAGTCCCTCGTCGGGACCCTGCTTTTAGGGTGCTAGGAACTAAGGGCAACTGAGTCAAGAAAGCAGATGCCCAGGAGTAAACATTATTCAGAGTCAATCAACTCCCAAGTTACAAAGCATAATATTAACTGTCTTCCTGTGCCCTTACAGAAAGGACATTGCTCTAAGGTAAACTATTCAAAAGACATAAGGAGAGGAGAAAGGCAATATTAACTTATAATACTGGGATAGGTGTGACCTGATAAACGTAAGCTACCTGAGGAAGGACAAAACAGTGTTGTCCTACAGATAAGTATAAAATTGCTTCTTGTGCTACACATGAATTTTAATATGAGACAGAATTTGGTAGTTGTTTTGTAACATAGGAAACTACCACTGACCACATGTCATGAGATTTTCCTAAATTACTTTGTGAAGTTAGTAATGCTGTATTCCTTCTAAAATGAATATTAGTTCTGTAGATAATTTTTAAGACCCCAAACTAGTAATATTTCAACTTTTGACTTTAAAAGATATTTTGAGAGCATTCAGGTGGATTTAGAAAGAAACTATAATTCTGAAGGACCAATTTCCTTCAACCTTCATAGGAGAGAGTATTTCTATCTTACACTTTTGTCATACAGTGATCATGATTTTTTTTTCTTTTTTAGGAAAATAGAGTGAATTTTTCAACAACTCAATTGTGTTTAGTACCTTATATGACAAATATTCAACATAGGAAAAATTAATTCTCTCATTATTTATGCTTCTGGAGGCCTTTGGGCCCCTTGGAGGGGAGCAGGTTGAGTTTCCTTCCCTGCCCCGACCAGGCTCCAGCAGCCGAAGACCTCCAGAACTAGCCACCACCATGCTGAGACCACTCTCCACACGCATGAAGGTACTGGCAGAAGAACAAAGGCATGTGGGTCCCGGGGCTGAGATCTCCAAGCCTGCTCGGATCGGGGCTGAGCATTCTCCACCCAGATCCTCCAAATTCCAGTAGGCAGGGGTCACCCCCACCAACTGGCCCCCTGGCGCCATGTAATCCATCAATGGCCAAGACTCAAAGACTATAAAACCCAGCTCCCGGAAGCGCGGCCGCATTTGTGGCTGTGAGACATCTTATTATCTCATTCCTATTTTGGACAAACTGGCAGGCTACCGAAAGTAACCTGCCCACATGACAGAGTCTGGCAAACTCCCTGTGGCATACCCAATATGCCAAATACCAGTAACAATGATGGGTTTCATTCTCCTAACCCTGAAAGAGCCTTGAATATGGCACTTTTAAAAAAACCTCAGGGCTAGGACAAAGGAGATGTTACTGGGGCCTGCTCGGGGCAATCGACGAATAACAGGATGGTCATGATCGTGATCGTTATTATTTATACTCTAAAAGTCAACTAGAAATAAAATTGATCTTTTCCTTTCTTTCCCAGTAGATAACTACTTTTAAAATAGAATTTTTTCCTTTTATAAACATTAGAAGACCATGTGTGATCCTCAAACAGAGGTTCATTTCCTTTATGAAGGAAATTCAACAAATCATCTGAATTTGAATAGCTTCTTTAAAAAGATTCATTTCATTTTTCACAGAATATTTTACATTTCATCACCATATAATAATATTAACCATTACCCTTAAGAGGAGGAGATACTATTTGTGAAACTGTCCTAATTTCAGTTTTTCTCAAAATTAAAAATTTTAATTAACAAAAACTCATTAAGCATGCATACAAAAAGGCAAAGGAAATTATTTCCAGAAACAGAAATGAAAAACATTAAAATAATTTCTCATGAAATTACTTTATATTAAAGTGCAATTTTACCTGATGTTTTTATCTCTTCAGTATCAGATAAAAAGTTAGTTGCATCTATTAATTTTTCATTATCAAAATCATCCCAAACTTCACTTCCCCATTCAAAGTCCATATTTTGAACTTCAGAAAATGAAGAGTTGCTTTTATATGCTTCTGTCAAATTCTGGCTCCCAGATGTATTAAGATCTTTAATGAATCTCATTTTCTGAGGGGCTTTTACAGTTGAAGTCGTGGAATAGTTCCATCTAGAAAAACCTGTCATGTGTATGTATAAAAGAGCCGTATTTTAAAACTATAAGCATCAATATGCACTGATGAATCAAACACATTTTTCAACTACTAAACAGAGGTCTATTTTTTTGCTGTTTGGGTCACACCTGGCGATGCTCAGGGGTTACTCCTGGCTCTCACTTAAATCAAATTAATTCCTGGCTCTGTGCTCAGGAATTACTCCTGGTGGTGCTCAGGGAACAATAAAGGATGCTGGGAATGAAACCCGGGTTGACCGTGTGCAAGGCAAATGCCCTACCCACTGTACTATTGCTTCAGCCCCTAAAAAGAGGTCTTGAGTTATTTTCAAAAGCACTAGCTCAACCATTGCTGAATTCTTCATTCTATTAGTATAATGCATTCTATTTACTGTATCACATGTACTGATCATTTCATTCTCAACAGGTTCTTTAGACAGTTAATTTTCTTTCTTTCCATATGCAAATAACCCTACACTAAGATTAGATTACAGTAGAGTTTTTTTTCTTTTTGGGTCACACCCGGTGATGCACAGGGGTTACTCCTGGATCTGCATTCAGGAATTACCACTGGTGGTGCTCAGGGGACCATAGGGGATGCTGGGAATCGAACCCAGGTCTGACACTTGCAAGACAAATGCCCTACCTGCTGTTTTATTGCCCCAGCCCCCAGATTATAATAGGTTTTAAAATGGTCTTCTTTCCTCCAGCATTTTTCTCTACAAATTAATTTCAACTATTATTAGAAACTGTATTTGTCAAAAATGTATTTTAATTTTTTTCTGCTAAAAATTCTCATTGTTATCCATAATCTCTGAGGGGGACTACATGCCCCTACTTGTCCAGCTTTTCATTTTAATATGTTAAGAAATGTTTAATAATTGTTTCTCTGAAAAATACATGTGCATATATAACATATATAACTTTATCATTGTATATATTTATTATATGTAAAGGATGTATAGAATACAATTTTAAAATAATAAAATAGACAGTATGTCTTTTTTCTTAATTATAAATTTTATCTAATTGAATATCATTGAATGTTTTTATTGTTTTGCCAAATTCTTGTAGCTGCAGTCAACTTATCTAGGCAGCTGACAAATGGATGGAGTTCTTAAATGAATTTTTTTTTTTAACTTTAACAACTAAAATGAAAGAAAACAAAAGAGACATATATTGGAACCACTGACTCAAGTATCTTTTTTCTAAATTAACAGTTCTCAACAGTGCAGTCTCCTGACCCCGCGCCTGACTGTCCTCGCCGCCGGGGCCCCTTGGAGGGAGCGGGTTGAGCTTTCCTCCCCACCCCGACCAGGGCTCCGGCAGCCAAAGGCCTCCAGGACCAGCCACCACCATGCTGAGACCACTCTCCGCACACATGAAGGTACTGGCAGAGGGACAAAGTCATGCGGGTTCCGGGGCCGAGATCTCCAAGCCTACTCGGATTTGGGCCGAGCATCCAAAAACCAGCTCCCGGAACTGTGCGGCCGCAAATGCGGCATCTTATTATGACATCTTATTATCTCATTCATACTTTGGACAAACTGGCAGGCTACCGAATGTAGCCTGCCCACACGGCAGAGTCTGGCAAACTCCCTGTGGCGTACCCAATATGCCAAATACCAGTAACAATGATGGGTCTCATTCTCCTAAAGAGCCTTGAATATAATCTCAGGGCTAGGATGAAGGAGACGTTACTGGGGCCTGCTCGAGGCAATCGATGATTAACAGGATGATTTGTGATTTGTGATTTGTGAACAGTTCTCAAAGACTAGAAACATATTCCCTCAATTCTTTCTGCAATTCATAATGTTGTGGTTATAGGCACTACATAGTTAAACTAATCTTCACTATTAACATTTTCTTCATTAAAAAATATTTTATTTTAGGCACCATGGCTTAACAATACTGTTAACAGTAGGATTTCATGAATAAGACATTCTGTCATCACACCCTCCAGCAGTGTCTGCTTCTCTCAGTGATTCTGTTTTTTGTTGTTTTGTTTTGTTTTGGTTTGTTGGTCTAGCATGTTTTCCTTTCTTTTAGTAGGAGTATCTTTCTAGTCCTTTGGGGAAATTGTCTCAATCATTCCATGTGATACTGGTAACTAAGTCACTTACAGAATCCTGTCTTCCATGAATAATGGAACCACAGAAATGAAACATTTGATACAAGTCCCAGGTTACAGAGATTAATCACTGGATAAATATGTTATTCATATCAGAACTATTACAATAAACAAAGGTCTGTGAAAGCTAACAGCTAAGACTGCATTTTTCTCCTGATTATGCCAAACAGGAAGTATGTGTTAGGGGTTATCTACCCTGTGAGAAAGACTTTTAAAAAACAAAATAAAAAATCAATAGATATACCTAGAAGATTTGAGAGAAAATCAGAGGGAAGAATGAGTCGGGATCTAGAAATGTATGGGTCTGGAAAAACAAGAGCCACATATGTATTCGGACTTTTCCCAGTTTACAGGAGATTTAATCAGTTTCCTTTATTAGGGTGCACTTAATTCACTTTGAGTAATCAAAGAGATCAAGACAAGCTAGATGGGGATATGGAGCTAAAGAAGGAAAATATTTAAATTCTGAAGAGTAGAATGAACCCCCAGAAAACCCAGGTATGCAGGACTTTGTGACTGAGAACTCTGGGTTCAATGGTACTAGGAACCGAGATTCTCTGCCCGTATCCCCCTGTCTCCAGCAACTCAGCAGTCATGCCCATGAGACAGCCTGGGCGCCAGATAATCTTGTCATCAGCCACCATCCAAGATCGCATGTCCTTCTCTCCCAGAATGGAGCATAACATGATGCTCACCAAAACCATACCACCAAACCCTGCGCAAGGCTGTTTCACTCAGGGTGCCCCAGAGAGGGACGTGTGAGACCTCTCCCCACCCCAGGGTCCCAGCCCTGGTAGCCGAAAATCTCCAGAACTCAACTGCTGCTCAATGTTCATGGCTGGTCTACTCTTTATACACTCTACAGCAGAGCCTCACCCATGAGTGAACCTTTTCCTGGACACTTCATAGGACACACCCTACCCATACTCCAAGAGTATTGCACCACATTTGATGGGATTCAAAGTAGGAGGCAACCAACCTTAGAGGAAAATATATTATTTCGGTTCTGCTTTGGGGCAGGGATTGGGGTTCAGAATGGAAACACCCAAAATATGGTGGTGGGACTGGTGTTTGAATATTAAATGTAATCAAATATCATGAACTACTTTGTAATTTTTAACAAAATTATAAAAACAAAAACAAATTCTGAAGAGTGAAAGTTAAAATAGGGGAAGAGAAAAAAATTACAATAGCAATGTAAGATAGAGAACTGGTCTTCTATGCCATAGCATAGATAAGACTGGAAAGATTATGATTACAGGGTGGTAAGATAAATCTTGAAAGGAAAAGATAATTCTTTTAAGGCAAATACAGAGTTATGAATGGGTGCAGAGAGCAGTATATAAGCAGGGTGAAAAGTTGAAACAGCTCATATACTATGGGTTCAATTTTCAGCTTTCTAATGATAACTAAGAGTCAATTTCATTTTATAGAAATTGCATTGGACTGGGAATCAAGAGATATGGAATCTATTTCTGACTCTATCATTAATTAGATTTGTGATTTTGAGCAAGTCATTTAATCTCCCAGTGTTTGGTTTCTTTCATTGAAAATGAGAAATCACACAAAGTTCCCTTACAATTTAATGATTCAGCATGCGTTCCCATATAATTTCTAACATTTTTCTTCTTTATTTTTCTTGAATTCATATTAGGTAAACAACTGTCATGATGTCAAAATAAATGGTGGGTATTCTAGACCTTGCCTTTAAGTAAATAAATTATGCTTAGAAGAAGTGTAAAAGCACCACCAGAAAGGAAAAAGTGACAATGGAAACCAAGGATGCACACAAAATTATTTTTAGGAAACCACAAGCTTACCATTTCTACACAAAGCTCTTGAACGAACAACTTAATGACCAGAATTATTTCTCACACATTTCAATAACCAGAATTATTTATCACACATTATTTCTCACTGGCTATTAATAGCATGGGCTGGAGCGATAGCACAGCAGGTAGGGCGTTTGCCTTGCACATGGCCGACCCGGGTTCGATTCCTCTGTCCCTCTTGGAGAGCCCGGCAAGCTACCAAGAGTATCTTGCCCACACGGCAGAGCCTGGAAAGCTCCCTGTGGCATATTCGATATGCCAAAAACAGTAACAACAAGTCTCACAATGGAGACGTTACTGGTGCCCGCTTGAGCAAATCGATAAACAATGGGAGGATAGTGATACAGTGATTAATAGCATGACTTAAATTGATGAGGTTATTAAAGGCAAGATCTAGAGTAATAATGAACCAGTTATAATTCTGAAGAATCTGTGTAAATTATTCAATTAATTTAATCATAGATAATTCTATTATGTACTAACAATCACTGTGTCACTGTATCACTGTTATTCTGCTGTTCATCGATTTACTCACTTGGGCGCCAGTAAGGTCTCCATTCGTCCCAGTCCTGAGATTTTAGCAGCCTCTCCTAACTTGTCTTTCCCAATGCTGCTATTTTGGAGGCTCTTTCAGGGTTAGGGGAATGAGACCCGTTGTTGTTACTGTTTTTGGCATATTGAATACGCATGGGTAGCTTGCCAGGCTCTGCCATGTGGCTGGAATACTCTTGGTAGCACGCCGGGCTCTCTGAGAAATGTGTGTGTGTGTGTGTGTGTGTATGCATATATATATTCACATATATATTTCCCTCTATGATTTGTTGCCTACTGTCTGAACCCCATCAAATATGGTGTGGTAATTATGGAAAATGGGTAGGGAGTGTCTTATGATGTGTCCAGGAATCTGTTCACTCATATGTGAAGCTTGGCCTGAGCGTGTGGACAGCGGCCTGGAACATGGTGGCAGTTGGGTAGTGGAGGTTAGCTGCTGAGACTGGGACCCTTTGGGCGGGGAGGGCTATCACCTGCCCCCTCTGGGATGCCCCGAGTGAAAACCATACTAACAATAATCCCACAAATTAGGATTTATTGATATCAGCATAGAAAAGTAAGCATCATAGATTTAAGAAGTAAAGGGCACTAAAGGTCCAACCAGTTTAATGCCTTACTTTTATTCTATTCTGGGTGTACTTTGGCTTACTCCTGGCTTTGTGCTCAGGGATCATTCGTAGCAGTGCTCAGGGGATCATATGAAGTACTAGGAATTGAGCCTTGCGCAAGTCATGAGCCTTAACCCCTGTACTATTACTATAGTCCAATGCCTTAATTTTTTTGATATGCTATTTTTTTAATACAAATCATTTTTATTGCATACAAATCTGAAAATACAAATTGGTAATATAAGAAGCAATGCTGTCACCACTCAAAACTAATCACTGCCCTTCTGGAATGTGATATCTTTTTTATCTGTGACTAGGCACACACAGATATACACATAGGTGGGGATGTATGTAGTATATATAATTAACATATAAACATATCTGTACATATACACAAACTATTATGCACATTAAAAAATTACCTGCATCATCTCTTCTCTTTTGAAAATTGTGAATTTATAATGATCCTTTTAATGGACTCTTGGTATTTCATCATATGCATGAATATACAACTCTAGTGTTTTTTTTTTTTTAATTTTTATTAGTGAAACACCATGATGTGCAGTTGTAGATTTACAAGTTTTTGTGGTTGGGTTTCAGTTATACAATGATGGAGTACCCATTTTCCACCAGTGCCCATTCTCCACCACCAATGATTCCAGTATCGTCCCACCCCTCCTAACCCCCCCATTCCATCACGACTCTGTGGCAGGGCATTCCCTTTTGCTCTCTCTCTCTCCTTTTGGGTGCTGAGGTTTGCAAAAGAGGCCAATGCCTTAATTTTAAAAAGAATAAGGCCCAATTTTTCCAAGATCATACAGCTAATTTTAAATTGGATTAATCTTATAGTTTCAAAATTATTAAAATAAATTTAAAGATATATAATGTAGTGGCTCAATACTTTAATATTTTATATAAAAGTTTTCTCATATTCCAGCTTCTCTTCATACTACTTTTAAATTAAAATATTTAACACTATGTAGAGAAAAGATTTTTTAAAAATATATGATAGACTTAGTAAGACCATCTGAAATAATGAACCAAGAATTTGAAATTGCTTCAGTAACCCAAGAGAATTTGTGTTACTAAGTTAATAATAAATTAGTAGGTTTATAGGTTTATAGATTGAATTTTAATAGTATTGCTTGCCTATCTGAAGAAATCCTAAATCACATTTTTGTTAAGTTAATATCAATGATTACCATTGCCTTGATATTCATATGGTTCTATTTCTTGAACTTTCAAACAGATTTCATGATGACCTACCTCTCTGCTCCGTTATAGGCAACTCAGGTGAGTTTAGATATTCTGACCTTTATAAAGATAAATGAAACAATAAAAATGTTAAAGAAAGCATTACAAGTAATCTGCATTTAAAAGTTACTTACATAAATGAAAAAATTATGATTTACCCACTCAGCATTTATATGATAAACTCTACCAGAGTCTGAATAGTAAAGGGTAAAAACTGGGCATTTAATAAATGTGACAGATAATTTAATAATCTTTATATGCCCCCCATATGTACATATCTGCTATCAATGTCTTAAAATTTTATTGCTAGTACTATTTTCAGTTAGATCACAAAAGCTAGGATTTCTTGAAGAGCATTGGCATCTGTTTTGATTGGTCAGTCAGGTCTGTTCTTTACTAGTTGTTAAGTATATTAAATGTCATCCCTGCATATAGAATACCCTTATCTGAAAGGGAATTTCAGTATACCACTGCCTCCTAAACATCAAGATACAGCACCAATATAGTGCTGATTTATTATTTAGGGTTTGTTATTAACTATGAATATGATCTTCATTTATTGTATCTTTAAAGTAAGATTAAACATACCTCATTTTGTGAATCTGATTACCATTAAGGTAAAAAGAGATAGTACACAAAGTACAACTTTTAAATTACAAACTACTTTGTAAACCTGAGATCCTGTTAATGGAAAAGATTAGACTTTGTATATTTGTATATTAACATGATTTCTCTCTTTCTCCTCTCTTTTTTTGTTTTGGAACTACATCTAGAAACGCTCAGAACTCCTAGTTTTGCACTACTGAATCACTCCTGGGGGCCAAGGGAACCACTGGGATGCCAGATGAGGATCAAACCTGGGTAGGTCAGGTACGAGGTAAGCACCCCATATACTGTATTATCTCTCTGGACTCCTCTCTTTATATTTTTGCTTTTGTGTTTGTTTTGGGGCACACTGACTGTTCTTTGATTTTAGTCTTGGTTCTGTGCACAGAGAACAGTCCTGGCAGTCTTGGGAGACTATTTGTTGTACCAGGGATCAAACCTGGGTCAGCTGCATGCAAGGCAAAAACCTTATCTGCTGTACTGTCTCTGGTCCGTGGCTTTTACTTGTTAACTTTAGAAAGCAGAGAGAAGATGAGGGCCTGCCCATAGGATAAGTACTTTCAGGCAGTTTCTCAGGAAAGATACGGTTCAATTAACGTTAAAGTAGTCAACAACGTAGAATTCTAAATAAATTTGAGTTATGAATGATAGCAAAAATTACAAAATCATTGCTTCATTATGTGACTACATGTTGTGATTTCTGGTCATCAGTTATTACCTTTTTCTGAATGAATGTTTGGAGAAATGGATATATTGTAATAGATGTTTTATTTTAGATATTAACTGTGTAATCACAAAATAAGTAAGTTAGCAGCGGTGGTGGTGTGGTCTCTCTAGCCAGCCATGTGCCTTCGGTGGCCATGAGCCACTACCCCACCCAGGCCTGCTGCTGAAGCCAGCAGACACATGAAGGAGAGAACAGGGCCACCAGGCTGGTTGGTGATCAGATGCCATTTATTCCATTCACCCCCCCCCCCCCCAACCCGTTCCAGTCTCACTAAGCTTCCCATTCTAGTCTCACACTGTTCCTCATTCCTGTCTCCTCCTATTCCCCCCCCCCCCCCCCCCCATGCTCTCCATCTTGCAGCTCTGGTCTAGTACCCAACCTCTCAAGGTTGGGGAAGCAACTACACCTAAGTCAGGTAGCATGATCAACATATGAAAGCCCTTCCTTCCCAGGGAAACTCTTCTAAGATAAGACAAAGATCTCCTGCAGCCAGGAGATATGCTCAAGGGTGAAATACCAGTTAGGGGTGTGTTTCTCCTTTTCTCAGTCCAACAACCATTTAAACATTCATCTTAATTCTACTTCTTAATAATATTAGTCATTTTGTATGGACACAGTAAAAGATACATTAAGCTTGTAGGGTGGCTCTCCTGGGGATAGCTCACTATAGATCCCAGACTACAGTGCTCAGGCCAGATTAGTTTTTCCTAACTCTAGCAGGGTCCTAATCCAGTTGTTTCTCTTTGGATCATGACAGAATTTGTCCAATTTGTGCTCTTAACTTGCAGTTAAGTACTATGGCGCTTGGCCTGGCCATAATACTTAACTATAACATTATAGCTATAACATAATACATTTCAATGCCAAGGTAGCTCACAGCTTGCCCTGGATCCATCCAGTCCCTTGTTGAGACCCTGCTTTTGGGGTGCTAGGAAGTAAGGGCAAGTGAGGTGTAAATTGAGTAAACAGATGCCTAGGGGTAAATATTTATTCGGAGTCAATTAACTCCCAAGTTACAAAAGCACAGCATTAACTGTCTTCCTGTGTCTATATTAAAAGGACATTGCTCTAAAGTAAACTATGCAAAAGGACACAGGGAAAAGAGAAAAAGCAATATTTCACTTATAAATACAAATCCAGAGTCCATAGAAGGGTCTGACCTTACAAGTCAACAGAGTCTGATTTGGGGATAAAGGTGATTGACCGGTTGGGGAAGAGAGCACAGAGAAGTTAAAAATAAGCACAGAGGAATGGGAGTGCCTTGGGAGCACTGTGAATGGTGTAACCTAATAAACGTAAGCTCCCTGTGGTCAGGAGAAAGGACAAACCAATGTTATCCTACAATTAACATAATATTTTAATATTTTTTTTATTGAATCATTGTGATATAGACTCTTACAAAGCTGTTCCTGATTAGGTGTTCCCAGTTTCCCTCCCACCACCCCTCACCTCTCCCCACCCCAGCCTGCCTCTGTGGCAGGCACTTTTCTTCTCTCTCTGTCTCTCTCTGTCTCCTTTTGGGCATTGTGGTTTGCAATACAAATACTAAAAGGTTATCATGTATATCCCTTTATTTACTTTTAACCCCATTTCTTGTCCTGTGTGATCCTTTCCAACTATTATTGTCATACTGGTTCCTTCTCTATCTTATCTATCCTCTGCCCTCCACATACCTGTAGTATATTCCAACCATTTAACATAATATTTATACCTTGATACACTGGGAAGAGAAGTCTTTGGAGAAAAACTAAACTTTTTAAGGTCCACACTTTGAGATTTATCCATCTGCATCTATTAGTGAAAAAAATTTACAAAGAATTAGGTGAAACTCAGGTTACTTCCCAACTGAAGGATTATTTTTAGCCCCTTCAAAAGTGCTGATTTTTTATGGCTCCTAAGTAGGTCTTTTCTCTCTGTAAATATTCTCAGTCAACAGTCTCACTTAGCCACCTGGATTCAATTATCATTTATCCAAGAAAGACTCAAATCTATATTTATAACTCATTTTCTCTTCTAATTTTCAAACAGTATATTCAAGTATGTACACAACATCTTTACTTAGACATCCTACAGTTCTCAAAATTTAGTATTTCCTAAGCTGAATGTATGCCTCTTTTCCAAACTAGCTTTTTCTTTAGAATTTCTACCTTAAAAAGGCCCCATCTCCCCTCAATTGCTCAAGTCTGAAAGCTGGTCACCATTTCTTGTTTTGTTTTTTTTTCTTTTTGGATCACATCCAGCTATGCTCAGGGGTTACTCCTGACTCTGCACTCAGGAATTATTCCTGGTGGTGCTTGGGGGACCATATGGAATGCCGGGGGGTTGAACTCAGGTCGGCTGCATGCAAGGCAAACGCCTCTGTACAATCACATCATAATTTCTGATTACTTCTTTTCTTCCTGCACAATCAATACAACACCGAGGTATTTTAAGTATTAAAATAAATTTGTACATAAGCTTATGTTAACGTATAGACAGTAAAAGGACATTTATCCAGGAAAAATTGTCTAATAAATATAAGCAATATAATTACTCAAATTACAAAGTTAGAGTTAGTCTGGAAAACATATTAAAAGTGATGTTTTAAAAGAATAAAACTATAAAATAGATAACTTTAGTTAATGTAGCATAATTATTTTAAGTATATAGCAAATGCAAACAGTAATTTATAAAGAATAAATTTTGCAATATTTTATATAAACTTATTTGCAATGGTTTTACAAGTAAATGGTAGCCATCATTATCAAATTGTTTCCCCAGTTTTGAAGTACTCTTCCTCTTTTTTTTTTTATCATTTTTTTTTATTAGTGAAACACCATGAAGTACACTTATAGACTTAGAAATTTTTGTGCTTGGGTTTCAGTTATACAATGATCAAGTACCCATCCCTCCACCAGTGCCCATCCTCCCCCGCCACGGGTCCTAGCATCCCTCCCACCCCCCATCCCTCCCCCCCCCGTCCCACCCTGCCACTGTGGCAGGGCATTCCCCCTTGTTCTCTCTCTCTTCTTTTGACACCCAGTTATTCTAAACACCACATACGAATGACATCATTCTGTGTTGCTCACATATACTTTCTAACAAAGCTCAATATCTTACATTAGCTCATTATTGAAAAAGCTTACTTATTCTTATCCTCTACTAAACTATAAATTTTATAAAAATAAGGTTTAAAACCACCTTAAAATACTCTATGTTAGCACCATCATAGTGCTTGACATATTTTCAATGCTTAATAAATATGAAAAAAAAAAGACATATGGATAAAAATCAACCTGACTTTCCAGTTTAGTCAAGTACACAGGAAGCCAGGAAAGGGGCAAGTGTGCAGTTTCAATTGATAAATTAATTTAAGGAATATGTATTTTTCTTTGTTTCTTGTTAAAAAAGCAAATAATGGAAGGAAGGGACTGTACAATCATATCCCCCAAGAAGATTTACAGAATATTAAGAGTATGAATATACTTTCCCTCTAGAAAAAATATCATGAGTAATAGCAGTTTTTTTTATTTTGGAGCGTGTTCCTCCCAAACAATGCTCAGAGAGTCCAGGGAACAATCCCAGTGATATTCTACCAACTAGATCAGTGATTCTATGATAGGATCCAAGTTTGTAAAGCCAGGAATCATCAGGGCCACTCCAGTGATTCTCTGGGCCCTACAGGGCTACACTCAGTGATTTTTCCAGAGGCCACCTGGTGCCAATGATTAAAATGGGGTTAGGCATATGCTAGGCAACTAGATAGTACTGCCTAAACACAATATTATCTCCTGGCTTAGTTACATTTCTAACCATCCTGCAAGTAATTCTGAAGTACCTATGGTTCTTATGTAACCGATAGGCAAAAAAAAGAGGAATATTCATATACATTTATACATTCATATACATTAATTACATTTAATTATTGAATAAGGAACAAATGTTACTGAATCTAACCTTTAGGCGTTTAGCTGGAGGAAGAGATAAAACAGCATTCCTGTTTCTTAAATCTGATAAATATGAAGAAATTATTGACTCTTTCATTTCTGACTTCTGTGCAACTCCAACTTTACCTATGAAAAGAAATTCTCGATTAGACTAAACTTTATTGTTCAACTAAAGTCAAATTTCTTCAAAAATATTTTTCCATACTACCCAGAAAAGAAGACTGAATTAGATACTTTATACTGCACATACACATAATTATGTTGCTAATATTCATCAAAGACCTTTCCTTTTTGTGTGGGGGATGGTGGGGATTCCTAAGTAGTGCTCATGGGAACTAAGACTACTCCTGGCTATACTCAGCCCAGCTGTAAGGACCTGACAGTTCAATCCTTGAGCCTGTTCTGGCCCAGCAGTGGTGTTTGGAGGTCACCAGGTCACCAGTGGTGTTCTGGCCTTGTAGTGTTTGGAGGTCACCAGGGCTGCAGACTCAATAGTGTTCTGAGGGCTATTGTGCCTCAGGAATTGAACTTGGGGTTTAGTGAGTGTAAGGCATGCACTCTAGCCCTTTGAGCTATCTCCTTGGTTAAAATACTTCGATTCCCCCCACCCCATTTTAAAGTTATGAAATAAACTTATTTTATAGAACTTACAGCAGTCATGCCCACACTTTTGTTTATTTTTACAGTGATGATTACATTCTCGGTTCCCAGGCTTTTTGCAGGCTGTCATTCCTAAATTGATATTTTTTAAAGAAAAGCATTTTTACTATATCTGTTATCATGAATTTAACATAACAAAATTTTACCTACTCTCTTTCCTTTTAGACAGCATAAAAATATCATAATTTCATACTTCTCCAAATGTCAGCCCATCTTGGGAATTGAAAAAAATTACTTAAGATAAAGACAAAACCACAACTAAAATAATAATAATAATAATGAAAAATAAAAGAATCTCTTCTATGATCAAGAACTGTCACTGTCACTGTCCTCCCGTTGTTCATCGATTTTCTTGAGTAACGTCTCCACCGTGAGACTTTGTTGTTACTGTGTTTGGCATATCGAATACGTCACAGGTAGCTTGCCAGGCTTTGCTGTGCGGGCGAGATACTCTCGATAGCTTGCCGGGCTCTCCGAGAGATGATCAAGAACAAGACACGTATATTCACTCTCATCACTCTAATCAAAGCAATCAGGGATCCAAATTGGAAACAAAGAATTAAAACTATCATTATGTGCAGATCATATAATACATAGAAATTCTAAAAACTCTACTGAAAATTCAAGAATTGATTTATCAATGCACTAAAGCAGGAGGCTATAAAACCTATATACCAGCCAAGAAAAATATTTTAATGGGCCAACGGTATGCTCTGCATAAACAAGCTTCAAGTCTGATTTTCAGCACTTCGTGGTGATTAATAAATAAATATATAAATTAAGTGGTATGGTAACACATACTTTGCAGAAATCTGAAACCATACCCCTAATACATATCCAGTCATGTATCAGTTATGTAAAAGTTATCCTAATTTTAAAAATTAAAGAAACAATTATGTATAAACCTAACCAAGTGCTGATCCTATATGTAATAATTTTAAAAAAGTACTTGTGAGCTGGAGCGATAGCACAGCGGGTAGGGCGTTCGCCTTACAAGCGGCCAACATGGCCGACCCGAGTTCGATTCCTCCGCCCCTCTCGGAGAGCCTGGCAAGCTACCGAGAGTATTCGATATGCCAGACACAGTAACAACAAAGTCTCCAATGGAGACGTTACTGGGCCCGCTCGAGCAAATCGACGATCAACGGGAGGGCCTTTACTTATTTACTTTACTTGTGATAGGGCGTTTGCCTTGCACGCGGCTGACCAGGCTGACCCGAGTTCGATTCCTCCGCCCCTCTTGGAGAGCCCGGCAAGCTACCGAGAGTATCTCACCCACACGGCAAAGCCTGGCAAGCTACCCGTGACGTATTTGATATGCCAAACACAGTAACAAGTCTCACAATGTTACTGGGCCCGCTCAAGCAAATCAATAAACAATAGGAGGACAGTGCTCCAGTGCTACTGGTGATAGATTAATCTGTCCACTACTAGCCCCATTCCAGTTTTTCACAAAGACCACCAAGTCACCTTAATCTCTCAACCTTTCTTATATAGAGCAAAATGTAGTAGAATATCAGTAACTCTTATCCTGAATGAGGTAAAAGGAAGGGTGGAGTTTTAATTTATTATTTTTATCTGCCTCCAAAGTTATGCTCAAGGGAATCAGGGGCCACTCAGCCATGAGGTGCTGCTCAGATCCAGCAATAGGGGAAGGGAGAGGTACTAAAGCTATACTCAGTGGTACTTCAGGGGCTGGAAATTGAACCTGGGGCCTCTGTATGCAAAGCACGCGCTCCAGTCCTCAGAGTTATTTCTTTGACCCAAAGATTGAGTTTTCAATCTCTTTTGTTGCTTTATACTTAGGCCTAAAGAATAAAGAAACATTGAGTAGGAAACTTGCCTTATACATGGTCAACCAGGGACTGATCCCCAGCATCTATATGATTCCCCAAGCCTGCCAGGAGTGATCCCTGATCACAGAGCCAGGAAGAAGCCCTGAGCAGCTCCTGGTGTGGCCAAGAAAACAAGAAAAAAGAATCTGGTAAAAAGTAAACTTCATGGCAGTTGGAAGGCAGCACTGATGTCTACTCATAGATAAGACACCAGAGGTAATTAATACATGTTAGAAATATAGCTATATATTTATATTTTATGTAGAAGTTTATATTTTTATAGCTTTAGAGCTATAAAAGCACTTAAGAAATTTTATGTGTAGTTCCACAGAAAAAAAGAAATTGTTTACAGCTTGACTGCCCTAAAATAGAATATACTCATAGATAATCATTATTTAAAGTATTTATTTTCTTAATCTTTCTAGGGAAGGGAAAAACATTTGAACTGGTTTTTGAAGAACAGAGAGGGAAGCTGGAATGTATATTTTTGTCAGAGCATTGCTTTTTTTTTTTTAAGGATTACTGCTATTTATTCAACCATTGATTAAGCTGTTTAAATTGGGCATGAACTCCCACATTACTTTTTTTTTTAAATTGAATCACTGTGAGATACAGTTACAAAGCTTTCATGTTTGAGATTCAGTCATACAATGATCGAACACCATACTTCCACCAGTGCACACTCTCCACTACCATGTCCCCAGAATATGCCCCCCCCCATCCCAGTCCTCACACTGCCCCAATACTCTCTCTTTACTTTTGGGCATTATGTTTTGCTCAAATTTTCCCACCACCATTCAAGCCTGCCTGCCAGAGGCAGATGCTGTCACTGTCACTGTCCTCCCACTGTTCATCGATTTGCTCGAGTGGGCCCAGTAACATCTCCATTTTGAGACTTGTTGTTACTGTGCTTGGCATATTGAATGAGGGCGAGATACTTTCAGTAGCTTGCCGGGCTCTCCGAGAGAGGTAGAGGAATCAAACCCGGCTCGGCGAGACTGGCTACACGCAAGGCAAATGCCCTACCGCTGTGCTATTGCGATGCTAGATCATTTATTGTCCATTGCTCATTTTGAATATCTTGAGTGCCGCAGCCGTGCACTCCTGGAATCCAAGATTGTAAATGGTTGGGTTCCAGAGACATTTCTGTAGGGCACTAATACATTTTTGGATTCAATTGGGTGTCTCTGGAACAGGGCTGTTGGTGTGCTAAAATGGTGCCCAAAGCACATTGTGGGTGTGACAGCCAGACTGATGAGCAGGTGGGGAGCTGGGGAGGGTCAGTCCAGCACCTCTGCCGCCATGAGGCATGGAGATTTAGTCCTGGAACCTGCATACCTGTGCCTTGCGTGTGAAAGCTCTTGGTCACTGGGACTCCATCTGGAGTAGGCAGGGAGCATGCACCTGCTCCATCTAGGATGCTCAGTGAAACTGACTCAGTATGGGGCCCGGAGAGATCTCTGGCTCTGTGGTGTCTTCTGGAACTTGCTGCTGTACCTCTGGCTTTTGATCTCTTTCAAGATTTATTTATGGGTCTCTGAAGCAAGACCAGCAAGAGTTTACAGGGTGGCACTGGAGTTCATGGGGTGACTGCCAGTGCTTCCATGTGTATTGGGAAATGGGGGGAGGTAGCCCACCTTAACTCCGTGAAAGCTCTATGAAATTTCAGTCACAAAACCCACATACCCAAATTTTCAGCAGATTATATCTGGTGAGGTCCGTCCTGAGACAGTGGAGTCAGGCTGGGGTATGGCGACGATTTTGGACTGTGGAAGCAGGTGGCTTTTGGGGGCTCAGTGTGGGCAGGCACAGGCCAACCTGCCTCCCTCTGATTTACCCCAGTCTGTTCAGCCATGTTCGGGTCTGGGATCAACTGTGGCTTTTGGTTTCTTTCAAGATTTATCTATGGGTCTCTGAGATAAGGCCAATAAATGAGCTTATTTATTATTTATCTATTTATTATAGCTGAGTCCAAGGTGATTTGTGGGCATGGCTCCCACATATCTAACTGTCAGCCATTTAATTTCTTGGCAAACTTGGTCCCAAGTTGTTGGGGTCCGGCCAAAGGCACAGTGGCAATTTTGGGGTGTCAGGAAGCCTGAAGGCACCATCAGGCTGCTGATGCACTCGCCCTGCAGGTATAGGTTCACCTGTTGGAGGCATCATACCCCCTAGAACATTGCTTTTAAGTGAACCAGAAATGTTGGAAGATACTAAAGAGTTTGAATACCATTGCAAAGGCTTTTCTTGGTCGTTCATTCTGCATTTTCAGTGCCTTGCTTGATCAGCCCTTCAAAAGGCATGATATATCTAGACAATACTGTATTCACAGCAGCCTGTATAAGGTTGTTCACAGTAAGAGCCAACTAACTAGACACCTGAGGGCTAAGCAGATCAATATACTGTGTACTGATAAAGTAATAAACCAGCCTTAGCAGCTGGACATTAACAGGTAAGCGATAAAAAAATTTGGTAGAATATAAACTATCTAAAGAAAGTCTGTTACTTATAGTAGATGTCAGATAAAAGATTAAAATGCAACCATCTCTGAAAGAAACAAAGATACTCAAGAACCACAAAAATAACTAAATATCTCCCTCTTCTGGCAAACACAACGACAACTAATTCCTTCCATCTCCAAAATAATATCTGCCAAAATATCCAGTTGCTGGGGCTGGAGTGAGTATAGAGAACAGGGTGTTTGCCTTGCACCAGCTGACTGGGTTTGATCCCTGGCATCCCAGATGGTTCACCAAGCACCACCAGGAGTAATTCTTGAGTGCAGAGCCAGAGGTAACCTCTGAGCATCATAGTCTGTGGCCCAATGCACCCCTTCCAAACAAAACAAGAAAAAACCCCACCCTGCTTTCTGAGAGTACACAATCTAGAATTGATCTTTGCTTTTTAAGAACTGACCCTTCTGAAGAATCACCTAGCACAAACTTTTTAGTATTTCCAATATTTCTGGTTCACTTAAAGGCAATGCTCTAATAAAAATAAACTTATTTCCAGCTTCCCTATCTGTTCTTCAAAGACCAATTCACCTAGCATAAAATCACCGAGCAATTTTATCATTTCTTCGAGATGACTCACATAATTATTGTGCTTATGTTTGCTATGACAAGTTTTAAAAAATGCCAGTTACTCTCAAATACAGATGTGTTCCAATGGTCTTTGAAAGATTTGGACATTTTATTTAACAACATGAGACATAGTGAAAGTTTACTGCAGTTTTTT